TTTTTTTTTCCTTTTTGTCTTTTTTTGTGACCGGCAACAGATCGCAACCCTCAGTGTCACGTCTGTACCGGACCAGCAACGGGATCGCAACCCTCGGTGTTGCTCCCGCACCTCGCTCAGCCAGTNTCCGTACCGGACCAGCAACGGGATCGCAACCCTCGGTGTTGCTCCCGCACCTCGCTCAGCCAGTGAGCAGCCGGTCTGTATGTGGGATCCGAACCCTCGGTGGGAGCGCTGCCGCGCTTCCCAAACGGTGCACTGTAGCAGTGCGCCACCGGGCCGGCCCCATAAAAGCAATTTTCAAAACCACAATTTGCCTTTGTAATTACTTTCTTTGACTCAGAGGTCTCTTTACCTCTTAGAGCTGTTCCATCAATTCCAGTTTTAGAACCCACAGTTTAAGTGAGGATAATTTTATTCAGAAACATTGTGTTCCTGCTTCTCTAAATCTTTGGGCTCCTTATATAATTTGTGTTATAGTTTTCATTATTGAAAGAATATCCTACAGGCTAAATTTTTTTACATTAGCATAAATAAAACAAAATTTTAATTTACATTATTTTCATGAAGTTTCAAATTATGAAAACAATTATTAGTTTGATACATTTAACAATGTCACCTGATTTAAATTTTCTCAAAAGTAAACGGGTAAATTTAGTAGAAAAGAATATCTTAAAAATTTGTCTGCCTTCCTCTTAGGGGAGTGATACCAAATTTGTGTTGTATAGTAGCACAGTTTAAATCTCATTTAATCTACTTTTACTTTGATATTTCTCTATATGTATCTGCTCTTCTATTAATATTAGGTATGTAGCCAGAAATCTTTTGTTTAGTATTTATTCTAATATTTTCTTGTATTCATTAACTTAAAAAATTTTTTTCAGTCTCGTAGTGTGGATAAGCAACATGCTGTTATCAATTATGATGCCTCTACAGATGAACATTTGGTAAAAGATTTGGGCAGCCTAAATGGGGTAAGTTAAGAGTTTATTTTTTGTCTTGTTTGAATATTTGTTTAATATTATAGAAGACAACAGGGGCCGGCCCGGTGGCGCACTGCTACAGTGCGCCGCTTGGGAGCACGGCGGCGCT